AAACCTGATTTCAAGATCAAAGCAAAAAATTACCCCTCTGATCTTGCTTACTGATTTTGTGGTGGTTAATTTTGAGTTCTGTGCACGCTGAGGAGTTTAAGTTGTGAATGATGTAGAACAGTGTTCTGACTTCCCCAGGCAGCTGTAATGCACCTCGTGCTGCAAAAACAGGTGATTTGCTTGGGAAGGGGAGAAGCTTCGTGTCTCAGAAGGGTCCCAGTGCATATTATACATGTGTAAAGACAAAGCAGATTTGCAGCTCTGAARTATCAGAGGAGCAGTTCAGGTTGGAAAGGATCTCTGAGGTCACACAGTCCATCCACGGCAGGGCTGATGGCACAGGTTTGATTTGCTTTGGCATTGCAGGGAGCACAGCTTACAAGGGCGGTGCATCCCTGTACAGGTGACTGGAGCCAGGCTGCTAGGGAAATGGAGCCTCTCTAAAAGTGTCAGATACTTCTGTGTCTTCCTTTTAGCATTGCAGTGTTTGATTGCAGGACTTGTGATGTGGTTTGTGGATTGTCACYGGCAGAAACTGCCTCACCTTCCTGGGGCTGCCTTTCAGCAGTGATTGCTCCACTGCCTTGTGAGGGTCTTGTCCCTTGTTGCAGCTGGGTTGAAGTTGTTGGTGCTGCTTTCAGGCACAGCAGCACTACAGGGCTGGTTGTCTCTTGCAGTTCAAGGCTGTTTCCTTGACGTTCATTTCTTAGCAGAGCAGTGACTTTTTCCCCTTTAAGATAATGCCAACATACAAGCAAGTTGGCAACTTTCTAATTGAGAAATGTCTCTTTTTGTTGTTTTTCCCCCACTTAGATCCTCTCTCAGCCTAACCTGCTCCCTCCATTGGTAAGAGCCCCATTTACTAACACCTTCCCAGCGCCTGTTCAGAGGCTGCCGGTAGTTCTGCATAGTCAGATGCCGTCTCAGATGACCACAGGCCTTATGAGCCACCCTCAGTTACCACGTGTGGCCAGAGGTCCTTGTGGATCAGTCCCTGGAGCCAGAGGCACTCAGGCCCAGGCTGCGCTGAAGGCTGAACGAGACGTGAAGGTCAGTATGTGAACAGCAGTGCTGTTAGCAGCAGTTCAGTCTGACAGCTCCCAGGGCAGGGATGTGTCTGCAGACATAAAATWAAGTGCCTCTGGACCCCAAGCCAGCAGCCAGGCCCTTAACAGCTGAACACAGACCTTCTCTAAGCCCTGTTGTTTTTTAATAAGAATTTTAGACTCAAATACTTGTAGGGAGCTTCCTGTCTCAAGTGGTCTTGTGGGCAGCAGTTGTGGAGCTCCACTGCTGTCCAAGGCAAACGGAGGTGTCAGGAGCCTGGTTATTCCTGAAGGAGCAGTGAAGCTGCACACCTGGCTGTTAGCTATTGTTTCATCCCCAGCTCCTCCTGTTCCAGCCAAGTCTCACTCCTTGGTGACTCTGGAGAGTCATTTCCCAGTGGTTTGAAGTGTGGTAGAATGCAGTACATGGTACACTCTGCAGAAGAGGGGGCTGCATTTCAGTAGCAGTTGATGACAGTCACCTAATTTGTTACAGCACTTTGGGACCCTTCAGTTTGAGGCAAACTCTTCTTCCAAGGCAGAACTGCAGTGTGGGAGATGTGTAGGGACACCTTYGGACACTGAGCCTGTTTGCTGCAGAAAAGAAGTTGCTCAAATAGGTTGTACTTGGAGCTCCCTTCATCCTGTGCCATTCCTGTAACCTGTGCACTGAGGTGTCAGAGCAGGAGAGTGAGTGCGGTGTTCTGGGTATGCACGGCTGTAGGAGAAATAATTACCCCTTAAATTCCAGGGGGTTGTCCATTTTCTACCATGAGGTTTTGCAACCTGTRGATGCTTACCAGGTGATGCTTAATTGTCCTGAGTGTGTCCTGTGGGTTAAATATGGCCAGTCAGAGCAAATACTAACACACAGTTCTGGTTTCCTTAATCTGCAAGCACTGCTGGCAGGAGTGAGAGTTACTGTCATGCTTGGTTACTGGTGATCAAGTCATCCACCTTAACCTCAGGGAATGGCTGAAATTTGGGCAAAAGGTTTCAGGTGTCCATGTGGCTCCAGTAAAATCCTGCACACCAGAGTTCACAGGTTTGTTTTCTGTTCTGTTGCTGCTTGAGTTACTTGGAGCAACACACAGTGTGAGAGCCAAGGCCTCTGTTACAGACTTTTGTTGTTTTGTYCRCCCTKTTGTTGTGTGTGTGTCCCAGCCCCRTTYTTTTGTAAAAAAGCAGAAAATACTTGGAGAGGGCTTAGTGCCTATATTGTAGCTGTGGTTCCTTGTGTTAAGATACTCCTTTTAAATTTAAAATAAAAAGATACTTGACTGCTTTGGGCTTAACTGTTCAGCTTTGGAATGATGGAATTCTGAATGGAACTTCTGCAGCCTGGGCAGGAAAGCCCAGTTGCTAGCTCTGAAGTGTCTGGTCTGCACAGTATCAAAACTGTAACTGGAACATGTCACAGGCTGAATTGCACAGGTGCAAGTCAGGGTGACCGGCAGGATTCCAAGGAGGGAAGGCAGGCAGTAGTTTGCTGCCTGGGATGAGAGCCTGCTCGGAGCAGGAAACAGATCAGGCTTCACTTTACACACAACACAGTATTGACCCTGGTTCACTCGCATCCCAGAGTCTGTGTCCAGAGCCACGGGGGGGTAAAAAGGAGTGCTCTGACAGTGCTGCTGTGAGAGGCCCTGTGAGAGGCTCCAACAGCCCTGCTGTGAGTGCTCCGGAGGTCAGCACACCCAGCACGAGCACTGACAGCTGGAGTGGCCCTCAGGGCCTCTGCTCACCCCTGCCCTGTGCTCTGGGGAAGCTGCAGTTGGAGCCTGCTCTCAGCAGTGTTCATACTTGTAAAGCTCTGCAATAGTAGTGGCATGAAAAGATATTAAATAGTACTTGAAACCATTGTCCCTGATGCTTTTTCAGGGAAGGATTAGGAAGAGCATGGGAAGCCTGGGCATAATGTTAAACTACTGCTGAGGAGCCAAGCACCCAGATGTGSTGAMATCAGGGAAGCAGCAGGATGGACACTGCCTTTCTGGGAAAGTCTGGCCACTACTGTCAGTCTTTCCCCTTTCATAGGAGAAATACTTTAGTGAAGTCACTCATATTCCAATGCCCTCTTTTCAGTAAACTTGTTTTCTCCCTCTCTTAAGGCAAAGCAGAGAGCAGAGGTCCTTCAGTCCACCCAGAGATTCTTTTCAGAGCAGCAGCAGCAGCAGCAGAACAAACCCATAGGAGGCAAAGCTCCGAAAGTGGAGGAAAACGGGAGCAAACCCTCCGAGGCAATTGCTGACTCTTCAGGAGTCTGCCAGGACAAAGCCGAGGAAAAGCCAACCCCTGCGCCTGCTGCCACACCGAAACCTGTTAGAACTGGACCAATCAAACCTCAGGCAATCAAAACCGAGGAAACAAAATCTTAAAGGCTGTGTTCCCACGGAGGGGGGGGACAGGGGAGGGAGGGCGAGGTGTCAGCAGCGTCAATTTGTAGCCCGAAGGATGAAGAGCAGCCCGCTCTCCCTGCCGGGCTCCGAGCAGCCTCAAGGGGCATAGAAGCGGCAGCAGTTGTGGTGGCAGCTGCTGCGTGTCCAGCTGAGCCCCTGGGCTCTCGGGGCTCCTGTCTGCTCTAACAGCATGAAGGCTGCTTTCAGGGCATCCTGGTTTGGCTCGCACCCGCCCGCTTCCCAAAGCCACAACACAGAGAAGTAGCAACGGCAGGGAAGAAAGTGGTGGGGAGGCATTTCCTAGCTGACACAATGACTTCTCTTATTTTCTTCAGGCTCTGATCTTCAGCTGCTATTTATCTTTTTATAAACCCATGAGTATGAGAACGTGCAGATCTGAAGATGGTGCTGGGCCAAGTAATGTGTGTTAAGTTTTTAGTGACTTAAGCTTCTATCTTGTATAAACAGAGGGATCCATGTATTTGCCACACGAGGTTTAACCTCACACGGAGTAACGCTGGCAGTGTTGGATTTCCCTCTGAAGGCAGTGCTTTGCTGGCTGCTGCTGCTTGGATGACAATTTACTGCATTTAGATCACCATATGAAAAAAGCTACTTGGCCACCTGTGTCCTTTCCACCTGCTGCCCCCTCAGTGGCTCTCACCCCTGGAGTTGAAGGTTCGTTGCATCAATAGTCAGATTTGTTCCGTTCACCCCTGTCCAGCTGTCTTTATATGATGCGAGTGGTCCCTAAACGGTTTCCAGTTCCTGTCTGTAACACAGCAACGAGCACTTAAACTGTGCCACGAGAATAAATGAAACCTTATCAGATTAACGAGAGTTTTATCTCAAAGGTGCATTCTTTATATCAGAGCTGCATCGCACCACCTCCTTGCCCACAGTGTGCTGGAAAGTAGAATCAAGTCAAATAAATGCCTTTTTAATTGTATCCTCTAGTATTCTAGCTGTAGGACAGTACTGTATGATACTTCTGTGAATGTAAGATATCCTGTACCTGCTTATGATATGTAGTAGTGACTGTGCTATACTGGAGCTGTTTTTAATAATGTTATTCTAGAGGTTTTTTTCCAGACAATGATTGAAAAAGCTAATAAAAAGCACCAGGTACCACATCAGTAGCAGAATTTGCTGGTTTTTTCTGGGATTTTTTTTTCTTTTTTTTTACATTTTTTGGAAGGAAGAGTTGAAAGTCTAATGTGTATAATTTTGTTCAAATGACTGCAGAAGCTGGAAAGGCTGTTGCTGCTATTGATGCCTAGTGAATCGCTATTGGTTATCTTTTTATATAAATATATATATAATTTGAATTTTTGGAAACTAGCTGTGATGTCAACTTTGGAAAAAAGTATCCCACTTGTAGTGTGAGTTGGCATTGTACAGAAATTAACAGCCATATTGGTCTAGAAATGTTAAACTTAATTTTTTTTCCATTTGTACAGGGGTAACGCACTGTATGAATATGTACGGTCTTATTTACATGGGTTTGATTACAGAAACTAATAAAGTATTCTCTAAATAAAGCCCTGGGTGATCTCATGATTGGTGCAGTGCTGCAGGAGGTGAGTGGAGAGCCCGGCACTGCATTCCCAAGGGAAAGGACAGCTCCTTTGTGTATCCTGGCACTCTGACACCCCTGGCCTGCGGGATCTGGGACAGGCAGGACACGCTCAACTGGCCACCAGAGGGAACTTGCTTCCCACAAACACCTTTGGTGTCTGGCTCTTTGAGAAGCAATTCCTGCCTGGGGAGAAGGTGCTGGCTGGCTCTGCACCTCTGATCACAGGGAGAGCAGAAAGGTGGCTCTGCAAGTGCCAGGAGTTGGTGTTGCTGCCAACCCCTGGTGCGTTGGGAAGCAGYGGCTCGGGGCCATCTGAGGAGCTGGAGTCCTTTCCTGCCCAGGTTGGTTTGGGTCAGGCTGAAACTGCAGCAATATGGAGCAAATAAAAGGTGCTGAATCCACAAATGGAGCCGTGGGCAGAAGGAACCTCTGAAGGTAATTCACCCTTTTTACAAGGATCTGTGCAAGCACAGCTGCAGTAAATGCTTGGGAGAGGAGGGTGGACTTGGGGGAATTGAGGGAATGTAGACACTGCTTCCATCTATAAATGTGCTACAAAAGTAACTKAGCTGTGGTGATGTCTCCCTGCTTTGAGGTTGTCTCCTGCCTGTTTCAYCTTGGAAGGACACCCCAAAGTGGGAACTCATGCACCAGAATGTTCTATTTTTAAAGAAATGCTGCTGAAAGGATTAATGTTAAATTCTGTAGTAATAAAGCCATGAGGAAGTCAGAGGAATTTCCCACAGTCGGCTGTGGGAATGTACCAGGCTTTGGACTATTTCRTGCACAGAGCAGAAAAAGGGGAGTATTTCTGCAGAAGTTTAGTTAAAAGCAAACACTTGGGCGTCTTGTGCCTCCAAATAACCTGGGTTTGATGTGTGTCTCTCAAAGCTTGAACCTGGCTGTCTTTGAGGCCAGGTGGAGCTTTCAGTCATTGACCCTGGTTCACTGAATATTTTTATGACATTTAATCAGATAACTTGCTCCTAGCTATTTACGCTAGAGTAGCTCTTGCTTTTTTAATWTGAGTGGGATTTGGTGCTTAATCTCTTTTCTAAGACTCTGGTCATCAGAAATAATTGTGCTGAACCTCCCAGAAATTAGAGAACTATTTTGTTGTGGGAATTCGATTTCTTTTTCCTTAATAATGTTGAGGCTGTGAAAAGGCTGTGACTTTTCTYGAGGGCAGGAGCCAGAAGGGGGTTAACTGTGACTGGGGCCAGATCCAGCAATCCCCCTGGGCTCAGGCTGGCTTCTTGCTGGGATGTGGGCAGGGAGGGCTTGTTTTCCCAAAGCCTGTTAAGTAAAGCTGTGTATTCAGCACTGTTCAGCTCCAGCCCAGCTTTCTGGAAATCCTGTGTACATTGGCTTGTCTTCCTTTATTTTCCCAGTCAATTAAGAGATGGACTTCCCAGCCTGAAAAGGCCCCAGCGTGGGGAGGGTGGGAGCGGTCTGCCCTCRGTGTCTGGGCTCACCGAGGTGCTGCTGCTCCCTGGGGCTCTGCACAAACCCTGCCTTTCATCCTGGGGCTTGGCTCACACCTCCAGGGAGCTGTGGGGTGAAGGGGGGCTCCTACCTCACCTCCCATCCTGTTTTGGGACAGAAACGCCTTTCTCCCATCCTTGGGGGCAGGTTTGCTGTGCATTGCTGGCTCTTGTTGCTGCCCTCTTTGCYCTCCSTGGCCCTGGTGGGCACCTGACAGCYCCTCCTGCTCCTGGGTGACCCCCACTGCTTCCCTCACCCACATTGTGCCCGGGCCCCTGGTGTCCCAGCTCTGTGACAGTGATGGGGGTCGTGTTCCTGATCCACCTGGGCTGGGGCATTTCCCTGATCACCAGTCAGGGAAATGCCTTCAGTGGCTCAGGTGAGAATCCAGGCCTGCCCAGGAGCAGGAATGGGTCTTTCAGCCTCCTCCCTCCACCTGCTGGGGTCCCACTTGCTGCCCACCCTCACAAACAAATCTTACACATACCTTAAGTCTCACTTTCTGCAACCCTCACATATTTTTCCAAAATAAAGTGTGGGGATGATGGATAAGCCAAATGCTTCATTATGTTCTATATGCGAATATACAGTACCACACAAGACAACAGTGTTAGTGTCAGGAGGACAGCAATGGGGTGAAGCATGTTACTGAAAATCCCTGTAGCTGTAGGTGATCATCGCAAGTGTCCCACTGTGTTCTCTGTCCTTTTTCACTGCTCCAATACGTGGTGTATTGCTGTCAGAAGCTGCCTTCCAAATGTGGCATTTTCCTGCCCAAGGCTTTACAGCTGCTCCCACCAGCACCTTCAGGTTGTAGGTGCATCAAGAGGGGCACCAACCCACCACATTCCTTGGAAAACAAGCTTGGAAAGATGAGCTGCAAGGCAGCAGTGGTGCTGGGCGATGTTTAATGGGCCAGGATCCTACACAGCCCCTGGGGAATAGGGTTGCTGCTGCCCCAAATGCCAGAGAGGGAGAAAGAAGCTTCCTCCTACAAACTTTCTATAATAAATAGATGAAACAGCGTTTTGGACTGGTGGAGGGAGAGCTGCTGGCCTGGAACAGCCTGTAAAGCTGAAGCACATGGCTGGGAAGGGCTGGGTACCCAGAGGCCACCCGGCTGCAGGATGCTCTGCCAACACTCCTCACCCCTGCTCTCTTGGCTGCATTTTTCCCCCCAATAAAACAAGGCTTGTGCAATGWGTGTCTGTATTCCCTGCTGCTTTTGAGCCTACTCGATGATTTTTGGTGGTGGCTGAACTCCAGGATGCCCCTGGGCACTGGCAGTGTGGAGCTTGTGGATTCTCTGCACGGGAGCTCTGCAGGGCTGGAGCCTGGAAACGACAAACCCCGACCCACAGAGAGAATCGCTGCTCACAGCCGGGAAAACATTTCTTTTTAGGCAGAACCTCCTGGACAGCCCTTCTACCACCTGCCTTGCCCAACCCTCACCATGCCCCAGCCCTCCCTGCTCCAAATTTGCGGTGGCCAGGTTGGATGAGCAGCTCAAGGCTGTGCACTATGTGACACACCTAAAACCCACCGAGGTTGTGGAGACTCATTTCCCTGGCTCTGCCAGGCTCTGGAGCAGCGCTTCATTTCTCTCTGCGGCACTYGAGTACAATCGGGTGTGGCTGGACAGCGTGTGGCCCCCACCATCACCCCAGGCTGCCTGGCCGTGCCGGGGGAAATGGGGAGGGGAGCAGAGGGCCAAGGCACGCACAAGGGGCCCGGGGGCTGAGCCGGCGCATTCCCAGCCGCGGCTCACGCCCGGGAGAGGCGGACAGGGTAGGTGACCATGTTGAAGCTGTCCCAGGCGAAGAGCTGCCGCTCGGAAGGGTTGTAGTCCAGCATGCTGAGGTAGCGGAAGCGGTTCTCGAAGGGGATGCTGAGGGCCCGGCTGGTGCCGGTGGCAGTGTCGTAGGCAAAGTTGATGGTGGCGTTGGGCGCCGAGTAGCTGCTGACGGTGTACAGGGTGCCGCAGATGAGGAAGGAGTTGGCCACCCCCCGCTTGCGGATGTTGGTTTCCCAGGTCCGACGGATCTCCAGCGTGTCGGGGTCCAGCTTGGAGAGGACGATGGCCCCCCGGGCCTTGTCGGTGCTGTAGATGACCCAGAGCCCCGTCTCATCCACCGCCAGGTCGATGTCGGTGTAGCCCCCCCAGGAGTAGGGGTACTGCCCGTGGTAGCCGGCGCCGGGGATCTCCCGCTCGGCCGTGATGCTCTCTCCCCGCAGGTCGTAGCGGGCCACGGAGCGGGAATGGCGGGGCTGGAAGAAGAGCCCGCCGCGGTAGATGACGGCCCCCGTGCTCTCCAGGGGCCGCGGCAGGATGTGCACCTTGGCGGGGTAGCCCCGGGCCAGCTGCTCGGCCTCCTCGTACTGGAAGAGCTGGCGCACCTCGGTGCCCACGGTGTCCACACGCCAGGTGTTGTCCCGCGTGAAGGGGGGCACGGGCTCRGGGTCCTTCATCCACACGCCGTACTTGCCCGCGATGGAGTCTGCCCGGCCGAACACCAYGGGCTCTCCCACCCACACCAGCTGGCCGCAGCCTGCTCGGGGACAGGACGGGAGAGAGAGGGGTCACCGCCAGCCCCTCGCGAGGGCCAGCGCTCCTTGTGAGCAGCGGGACGGCGTGTCCGTACCTGAGTCCTCCTTCCCCGGGCGGCCGAGCGCCGTCTCCTCCAGCAGGCGGGACACGGGAACCTCCGTCCTCTCCGACTGCAGCTCCTGGTAGGTGAGGGGCTGCGGCTCCCAGCGCGGCGCTGCAGCGGGGGCAGGCACAGCGTGAGCGCGGGGCTGAGCCAGCCACCCTCACCTCCCTGCCTGCTCCTGCCSCCCTCGGGGGGCTCCGTGCCGGGCTGTTGCCCCCCAAAGTACCGATGCCTTCGTCTGGAGCCCGGTGCTCCCTTCCACTGCGGCAGGGTACATCTGCGATCTGCTGAGAGGGACCCTGCTCCGCTGACGCTGTTGCCCCCTCAAGTGTTTAATTCTCCTTGGGGAAACTCCTYCCTAATCCCCCAGGTCAGCTCGGTCCCCTTCATCTCCTTTGCTGCGGGGCAGGCGATGGGATGAGGAAGGATGGGGACGGAGGTACGGGGCAATGGGCTGCGACCCCGAGCCCACCATAGTCCCCGAGAGTGGGGGGCAGCMGTGGGGGCACAGAATGGGGACCGCACAGGGACTCGGCCAGTGCGGGGAGAGGCACTGTCGGGGACCGGTGGCAGGGACGCACGGGGGTCCCGGCCCCGCACTTACCCTTGGCGGGGGCACGCAGCGTGTCCCGGCCGGGCCCCTCTCTGCCGGGTGGGCAGCGGGCGGCCCGCAGCCGGGTGATCTCCTGAGCGCTGCTCTCCAGCCGCCTGCCCAGCTCCTCTTTCTCCCGCTCCAGCCGCCCCTTCTCCTCCTCCAGCCGGGACTTGGCCCGCAGCAGCTCCCCGTACGCGGCTTCCAGGCGGGCGGCCGAAGCCACTTGCTGGGGGTCCCGTGCTCCCCCCGGTGCCGAGCCCCCCGCCCCTCGCTCCCGGCTCTCCAGCCGACTCAGGCGGGCGGCGAGGGCGGCCAGCTCGGCGCGCAGCTCGGGCACGCCGCCGGCAGCCTCGGGGCAGGCGGACTCCACGGGGCTGGCGACCGTGAAGGAGTAGGTGCAGTGCCCGGAGCTGTCATGGGCGCGGCGGAGGAAGGCGGTGTCCGCYCGGCCGCCCAGGGCCACGGACCCCCAGAGCAGCAGCCAGACCCCCAGCATGGCCCCGGCGCCGCCACTCTCGGTGCGCCGGGCACCGGCGCCCGCATTTATAGGGGAARAGGGTCGGGGCAGCGGGGGGCGGGCGAGCCGGAACCTTCCAGATGCTCGCGGAGGCACCGGCACTGCCCTGCCGCCTCCCCATGGCCGCTGGCCGGGCTGGGCGTCCGGGGCCGTGTGCCAGGGGTGACGCCGGGGACCGAGGCGGGCGGACCCGCAGCCGGACCCCGTGAGGGCAGCTCGGGGCCAGAGCCGAACCCGAACCCGCCTGTGCCTGCCCCGCCCCGCCGGTCACAGCCCCGCCCCGCCCATCCCGGCTCCGCCCCGCCCATTGCGGCCCCGCCCCTCTCCCCTAACAAGCCACGCCCACCCTGCCCGCTCTTGTCTCCGCCCCCTGCCCGCCCCGCCATCGGTAGCTCGGCGCTCGGCGCGGCGGGCGGAGTGCCGAGCGGTCGATGTGACGGCGGACTCTCCGCGGCACCGGCCATTTCCCGCCGGCCCGGCCCGGCCCGGCCCGCTGAGCGCGGGGGCGGCGGGTCCCTTCCCGGGCCTGCCGGACGCTCCCTGCTCTCCCCTCCACGCTTCTCCCCCCGGGCACGGAGCCCCGCGGCACACACCGGCCATGCCTCCCAAATTCAAGCGGCATCTGAACGACGACGAGGTGACGGGCTCGGTGAAGAGCGAGCGGGTGAGTGCCTCCCTTTCGGGGCGCGCAGGGGAGGTGCTGACCGTGGGGTGGCCGCGCTCGGTGCCCACTGTACGGGTCCCTTGGCCGGGTCTCCTTGTGCWGCCGTAGCCTTCAGCCACGGGGCCCAGGAGCCGGAACGCTGTGACAGCGACATTYGGTCAGTGGCTCTCTGTGCCGAGAGCCAGGCTTGACCCGTGTGTGTCAAACCAGCCTTGTTACGGCTGTGTTGAGAACCTGTTGCAGCTCCTTTAGTCTGCATCCATGGCCATGAGATGCCGGTGTGCTGTAGTCTCCTGCCCTTCCGCAGAGCCTGGCAGGGASGGACACGTCCTGGCTCTCCTGCCCACGTTGGCTGAAGCACTCTTGTGAAGTCACCCTGTGCGTTACAGCTGAATTTTTGTCCTGTCACCACGGTCCCCTCACATTTCAGGCTTTGAATACAAGGCGCAGCAGTTGCCTGTTTTGGACAAAGTGGATTCAACCTGCTGTGATTGTCCTGGGGTCAGGCTGTGCTGAAACTCCATTTAGGCTGTGGTCAGAAATGCTGCTGCAGCTCACGACAGCTGTACCGAGACAAGGAGCCCGTGCTGCCAAGAGCAATTTGCTCCTCCCTTGAGGGAAGCAATGGCTGGAACTATTGCATGGTCTGGCAGGTTTGCTTGAATTGATTGAGCAAATGCGACAGGATGGAAATGTAGGTGAGCTTCAACATCAGAGCGTCAGGCTTGCAGGTGGGAGCTCAAATCTACACACGGGGAAGCAGCAGCTGTTGGTACCCCAAGGATCATGTGCTGGGTCCCTGGGCTCACACCTTTAGTGTGCCACCTCCCATTCTTGTTTCTGACACTAAATAGTTGTTACAGGGAGCCCTTAGCTGAATATAGAAAACTTGTGCTGTTCTGATGTGAGAAGTTAACTCCAGTAATGTCTTTTTAGTGCAGGCTTCAGTGGGGTTGCTCTTAAAAATCAGTCTCTGGATCATCTCGTGGGGTGTAGTGGATCAGCAAAGGGGGGAGCCCTTTGGGGCAAAGCAAAGGCACTGCCAGGCTACTCTGCCCTCCAGTCAAGAGAACCCAAAGCGTTCCCTTGTGGTCATCCCTCTTACACCTGCTGCCATCAGGTAGTGGAGAAACCATGTCCTCCAAATCTGGAGTGGATCTGTTTTCCCTGTATGGTATAGCCCAGGGTGGCTATAGGCAATGTTGATGTTTTTGGATGCAGGGTTGGGATTGTCCCTTGAGCAGAGAGGGCCTTCCTGAAGTCAGAGGATGCTGATTGCCTTTCTAAGAGCTGGAAATGTGTGTGTGAAATAGTGGTTGCTTATTGATGAGATGTTTTTTCTGTGTTTGCAGAGGAACCTGTTGGAGGAAGACTCGGATGAAGAGGAAGACTTTTTCTTGTGAGTTGGAATGCAGTTGGAATGCTGCCTGCAGCTCTCAGACTGGGGGCTTAGGAATGAAAACTTTTGATTCCTTTGGGATAATCTTCCAGAGCCTTGACACTGATAGTGAGCTAATAGGTGGGACATCTCACTCTTACAAAATGTCACACCTATTAATTCACACGTATCCTAAGACTGGGAGGGACTGATGGGAGGTATGAAAACAATCCTCCATGCACAACGTATTTGTTCTCTTCTTTTGGGTCTGGTTTAAAAACATGTTTTCATTGTTCTTTCTGTCCTGATTGATCTTCTCTGCCTGCAGGAGGGGGCCTTCTGGACCCAGGTTTGGACCCAGGAATGACAAGATCAGGCAGTAAGTTGTTACTCAGTGTCACGCAGATAATAATTTATTCTGGCACTGTGAGCTCCTGTGCTGTCTTATCAGAGTATTTCTGCGTAGCTCTTAATATGAACATTCCTTGTGCCTGCTTTCTTCTTGTTGACATGTCCTACCCCATGTGTCCACAGCTAAAGGATATCTCAGGTTTGATGCAAGCTGTCAAGAAATTGTGTTGACAGATGTGAAGGGAAAAGATTATGTGACAGTAGCTTATTGGAGTTTCAGAAGTCCTTGCTGTGTTTTGGTGCACGTTCCATGCTTTTGTAAGACTCTTTTTCTAGAGCATTAACCCTGAATTTTAATCTTTGCTAGCACCAATTTTCATTGTTTTGAGGCTTTTTTATTTCATCCTGTAACATGCTCCTCAGTATTTTAAGAAAGTAGGTGGTCAGGAACACACCAGGATCATGGTTTTTGGGCAGCAGCTGGTCCTCTGGCATCTGCTTCTCCAGATAAAAATCTGATATAGGTGACCTGGAGATGAGCAGTGACTCACTGGGGTCAAAGCAGCTGGAAAACAGGAAACCATTACTGCTGGAGGAGGAGTAGGGCAAGAAGGAAGGAGTGAACACTCTGGATCCTTCTCCCATCGAGTCATTTCCTGGATGATGTTTGTTCAGGGCTCCAGTTTTTCCTGTCCTTTCTTGCAAGGGATGTGCTGGTGGTACTTAATCGAAAGCATGGGGACCCCTGGTTTGTGTTGCCCTGTCTTTGCTCATCTCTGTGGAGCTAGGACAGAGATCATTGTGGGGACTGATAACCAGGCATTATTCACACTGGGTCTTGTTTGCAGCCTGAGTGTGGCTCTTGGTTAGGGATTTTTTCCATGGCAGGAAGAAGCCAGCACAGCTCTGGGATGACTCATTGCCACCATCAGCATTAGGCTGTGCTTGCCCACRTTACCTTGAGGAGCGAAGGGCACTTGAGTTGCACAAGAGGCACAGGGCAGGTGGCTGCACCCTGAGTTTTCTGTTCCCTGCAGAGTGTGAGGGTGCTCTYGGTAGAGATGAACTCCTTGGAGTAAGTCAGTGTGGATAGAGCCTTCCTTCTAGGGCATGGCCAGGCTGATCTGGAGTAAATGAGAAAACTGAGAATTGGGTTTATGAGTGGGATCTCATCTCCATAAAAAAGTGGAGAGGGGATAAGGTCTACCAGTTCATCCTYCTCTGCTGGAAAGCAACTACAGTGTCTTCTGTGTTCCCTGTTGGTGGGGAAGAAACAGAAGCTCTTCTCTTCCCACTATCTTGGCCTCGCAGAAGGGAGCAGAGGGTTAGGTAGAGGATGGCACTATACCTGTGAAAAGGAACAAAAGTGAAAGAAACATTAAGCCAGAAGCTGGTGGGTCCATAGGTGTGACAGGACTAATGCCCCACAAACATGAGGCTTGCCCATTGCCAGAGACTGCCTGGATATRGTGGATGTGGCATGGAATATGTCCCTCGGGGTATCAAGTGGTTTCATCTATTTAGTATCTAGAGCATCTAYTACAAAACAATTTATTTTCTGCACTCATCAGTGTTGATTGCTTTGTTTAATTAGCGCTTACACCATGCAGTCATCACTTCTTGTCATGGAGCTCATTATGAAGTTTCTGATCAGTTCAGCCCTTGTGCTGGAGGGATCAATGCATGGTGTCATAATGAGTCAGTTTTCTCAGCTTCAACAAAGAAAGGGTTGGGTTGCAGCTGAATTACTGAAAAACGGTAAGGAAAAGACCTTTTAAGGAGGAATTTGAGCATTTGGAGAGCTGAGGCATAACTGGGCAAAGCTAAAGAGGCCATAGCAGTAGAGGGCTGGARGAATGAGGTGTGAAGGTGGGYGTAAAAGGAAACTGGATGGAGGATTGGGTAGAGGAAAAAGTGATGGGATTATGGGAGCAAAGGTGTGGAACATGCTAAACGTGAGGGGCAAGGCTGGAAAGTTTTCCTAGTTGTCCTTGGCAGCAAAGAGGGATAGATTGGGTCAGGGTGGAGTTTGGCAGCAGAGACCCTCAAAGCTGGCTGAGCTTTGGGGAACACTTCAAACCTTGTAGGGGAAGGAGGTGAGTTATAGTCATTAATAGTGGTAGGAGGAAGTGTCAGTCCCCTTAGAGCTGTGGTTAGTCCTGATGTGTCTGGAGGCCACATGGGGTCCCTTTGGCTCCCACCTGTCCCCAGGGTGGGCTGGAGCGGAAAGAGAGCTCTTAAGGRGCTTTTATCCTTTACCCCAAAATTACAAAGAATAGGTAAGAGAGAGCTGATCTCCTTTCTCTTTGCTTTCACGCTTTGGGAAAAGTCCTGAATGTGTGCATGAGAGCCTTTTCAAGGGAGGGTGGGATGTTCATCTTCCACCTGGATTTCTTTTATTTGGAAAAGAAACCTCTCATCACAGACTGTCTTTTCAAAAATACTGCTAAAATCAGCCCCTTTTCTGCACTGCTTGACTCACTTCACTGCTGATGTTTRTGCTTTCAGGGAACTGTGCTGCTGYGTTCCTGCTTGTGCTGGTGATGAGGCTCAGGACAGTACTGGGGTTTCCCAGGAGCCTCTTGGTCTCTGTGAATCCTCCATCCAGTTTCCTTTTACACCCACCWTCAYACCTCATTCCTCCAGCCCTGTACTACCATGGCCTCTGGCTTTGCCCAGCTATGCCTCAGCTCTCCTAATGCTCAAATTCCTCCTTAAAATGTCTTTCGTTGTGCTGCTTTGGGTGGTCAGCATTCCCACTGGGTTGGCCTCAGTGTTTCAGTCTGGCTGCAGGCCCTGATGAGGGGTAAAGTTTGTGGAATGGGTTGAGCTYCTGGGCAAG